ACCGCATCCCCTGGAGCCACCGCGTCGCCTTGGCTCTCTACGCCGCCATCTTCCTCCTCGGCATCCCCGGCAACGCGGCGGTGATTTGGCTGAGCTCCGCGGCACAACACCGCGCCGTCCCCGCCGTCTGGTTCCTCCACCTCGCCGTAGCCGACCTCCTTTGCTGCGCCGCTTTGCCTTTCCTCGCCATCCCGGTAGCCGGCGACCACCGGTGGCCGTTGGGCGATTTTGGTTGTAAACTCTTCCCGGCGTTGGCGGTGCTCAACATGTATTCCAGCGTCCTCCTTTTGGGTGCCATCAGCGCCGATCGTTGCCTAACGGTCACCAGGCCGGCTTGGTGCCACAACCACCGCACGCCGCGCGCCGCTCACCGCCTCTGCATCGCCGTCTGGTTGGCGGCCGCCATCCTCACCGTGCCAACCTTCCTCTTCCGCTCCTCCCGCCGCGACCCCTTCGCCGACGCCGAGATGTGCGTGGTTGATTACGGCCAACGCCGGCGCATCACCGAACCCATCACCGTCGGCCTCCGTTTCGTGGCCGGATTCCTCCTCCCGTTCTCCGCCATCGCCACGTGCCACGCGTCGCTCTTGGCTCGACTCCGCGCCCGGCGTTTCGCCAACACCCGCCGCGCCGCCGGCACCGTCGTGGCGGTGGTGGTGACTTTTTTCATCTGCTGGTTGCCGTATCACCTGGTGGGTTTGATCCTCGCCGTGGCCGAACCCAGATCCGACGTTTACCGCGGCGCCGCGGCGGCGGATCCGGTGCTCACCGGCTTGGCCTACGCCAACAGCTGCGCCAATCCGCTCATCTACGCCGCGGCGGCGGCGGTGGGGAGGAGGAGGGGGCGCTGGGGGGGTGGGGAGGGGGCTGGTGGGGGGCGGTGGTGGTGGTGGTGCGCCGCGCTGCGCCGCGTGCTGAGCGAGGATCACAACGGCGGAGCCGCCGGGAGTCGATCCGCCACCAACGGAACCACGGTGGAAACCGAGGTGTGAGGGGGGTCGGCGTCTTTTTGGGGTCACCAATTTTGGGGTCATTGCCTCCTTGGGGTCGGCATCTTTGGGGTCACCATCTTTGGGATTGGCGCTTTGGGGTCATTGTCTTTGGGGTCACCAATTTTGGGGTCATTGTCTCCTTAGGGTCGGCGTCTTTGGGGTCAGCGTCTTTTTGGGGTCATTGTCTTTGGGGTCAGCGTATTTTTGGGGTCTTTGTCTTTGGGGTCACCATCTTTGGGGTCATCGTCTCCTGGGGGTCACCATCTTTGGGGTCGGCATCTTTGGGGTCGGCGTCTTTTTGGGGTCATTGCCTTTGGGGTCACCAATTTTGGGGTCATTGCCTCCTTGGGGTCGGCGTCTTTGGGGTCACCATCTTTGGGGTTGGCACCTTGGGGTCGGCATCTTTGGGGTCACCAACTTTGGGGTGATTGCCTCCTTGGGGTCGGCGTCTTTGGGGTCGGCGTCTTTTTGGGGTCACCGTCTTTGGGGTCATCATTTTTGGGGTCATTGCCTC